TGCTACTCTTAGGACATAGGATTACTATAGGACATAGGATTAACTTACCATTCAGCATTGAAAAAATGTGTCATTCCACTGTATTATTGTGTTTTCCAAATGGTATCTTATGATATTAAGAATATGTTTGCATTTGGGTGAAAGGCATTGGGGATGGGGGGGGGGGGGGGGGGGGGTGAGAGTGAAACACTAACAGTTGAAGAAAAGTAGAATATAAGCAGTTTTATTTTGAGAAATAAACATATTACTGAATTTAGTTTATGATGTATATACTAGTTATTTATCTCAATGTATTACAGGATTTGTTCCAAGACTAGATGACAAATTATATTGGTCGGTAGGAATCCCTGATTGGTTTTTGTCTCCTTTACTTTGAAACATGTTGAAGAAAAAAGGAATACTTACCTTTATGACTGTAACTGTGGTTGGTTAGGGTAGTAGATTACATTAACAAACCATTTTTGTATTTTTTCTCTCTGACACTTTCATGGATTAGTGGCATCAACTTGTCACCGCAGAAACAGCAACTGTTGTCTGCAGGGGCTGCCTTTTCTAAACCACAGTAACAGTATCTGTTGTCAGTCAAACACCTCTCAGTAATGTAAACATCCTTGCTTTGTGTATAGGTTGTGTGCTCATGACCTTGCTCGGGTAGCCATACCAACATGATAAATTCATGTCTAAAAATGTCTTGCCATCTCTTATTGTATGAAGAGTTCAAGCTCAACCGGTGTAAGGCAATATGCTTAGCTTCTCTACCCTCCATAGTAACGGTCAAGAGACCCTGCTGGTAGTTAGCGTAAACTTGTCTGGCATGAACAGGGAGAACATGGCCCAGTGTCCACATAGTTAGGTTTACTGGGTATGGGAGGAACAGTCTGTTTGCATAGAAATATTGATTTGCTGCTTCATCCAATCTGTCCAGGTCTGCCTCTTCTACATCCAGTCTGTTAAAAATAGAACAGCAATCTCTCAACCYGATGCCTATGTAAGCCAGGGCAAGCAAAGTTTGTTTTTGCTTGGGGCTGTCCTCCTCCTTGCTCAGATGTTTAATCAACCTCATGAAGTTGTGGCAAAACAATCGAGAATCTTTTCCAGTAAATCTATATTGAAGATCACCCTTCCTACCTTGGGTCTCCTCAAACCAAGTCCTTGCCTTTTTTGCAACACGTTTTACTTTCACTTCATATTGAAGGGCATTTACTACCCTAACAAAACAAGTATCTTGAGGGAGATCAGCAAACACTTTCTGTGATGGCAGAAGATTAGATTTACCAAGTGCTTCTTTAATAACTGCTTTGAGAAAGTACTGCCAAGCATTATTTTTAAGATGAAGGGGCTCAACATGGGCTTTATCAATTACTCTTCCAATGACAGGTAGGAACTCTTGACGGCTGTTCTGTTTTGCGATGAATTGTGTCACTTTTGACCTCTTGGTGCTTTTAGTCAATGACGGTGAAAGGTTTGACTTAAAATCAGCAACTTTTTTAGCCACTGAAATCCTGTCATTATAGCACCATGGCTTCCACTTGCAGTCATTACCTGTTCCAAACTTACCGTTAAGGTCTCCAGCATCAATTGAACTTACATTTGCGAATGACGAGAAAAAAGTAGCAGCATTTGAGAGCTCACCACCAAGCATTGCAAGCATTTTCATATCATTTGGCAGCTCTTCAATGTGGAAGGTAACATGAAAACCCTCAATGTGATATACCTTTCCAATCATATTATTAACCTGTTTGCAGAACGCTTGTATATATTTTCTTACCACCAATGATGTCTCCTCACAGTTTGCTCCAAACACTAAAAAGTTGTCACTGCTAGAGGCCACTCTCTTTCCTACATTCAGAAAACTGACAAGAAAAGAACAAGCAGTTTCATTCTTACCAAAAGGGCAACCATCCCCCCCAAATGCAATCTTAAAAGTGTCCTCAGTCCCCCCAAACCACTTTAAGTTATCCTTTCTTGACTTAGATCTTAAATAGAAACAAGCTAGCCTTGGTAAGTATTCTTCTAGATCTCTAAGGCTGCCATTTATGGTACCTTCTGCCTCAAAACTAGAAGAAAACACTTCATCAACAGAATATGTTTTGCCTATGTCTATAGAATTGATTTCTTCCATGAGATTCTTATATGTTAGAAGCTTAGGTATGCTGCAGGAAGAAAGATATTTGATAGCAGTTCTCCCTCCCCTTTTTTTATTTGATGCCTTCATTGAAGATGCAAGCCTTACAGCTTGATACTTCCTCTTTCCCATGACCCCTGAATTGTAATAGACTGCTATGCTTCTTAATTTGTTAAGATGTGAACTTGCAAAATTGTTAATTTCCTTCTTTTGGACCTTATCAACTACATAATTAGTTACTTGGCTATTTAAAAGTATATAATCTCCGAGCTCGCTAGTCTTGCAGCGCTTTTGAAGAGTATCAAAAAGCCCATCTATTGCTGGACGTTTGTTGTTTTGTGTGGCTCCATGTATTTTACAAGCCATCTCATATGTTTGAGTGTTACGCCTTACTGCTGTCCTTCGAGCAATTGTTGGATTTAGTAGTGAGGTTGGAGATCTTGTGATTCCTTTATTTTTCAGCTGAATAAATGAAAAAAATATATATATACATGAGTGAGCAAATACATGAATAAATGAATGATTGATTAAAGATTGTAAATTATYATTATTCATTACCTATTCCACCAAAGCTCATATAAAAGCTATGGTGAATAAAGCTCATTTGAATTTCACTGTATTTACAGTTATCAGAAACATCTAAGACCAAGAAACTTCAAGTAAACCTTACCATAAAAAACAAAAAACAAAAGAGCTAGTTCTTATTCATACATACCTTATTGTTTATTGGTGTTAGCKTGCATTRGTCATTTGATTCAAGTAGAACATTTTCCTGCAAAATATTCCCCAATATATATTATCATACAGAAAACACTTTCCGATCGTTCTGTAAGTTCTCCTTACTTTATATAGCGATACAAAGCAACATAGTTGGGAGAATTTATTGGAAACAAAAATAGGTTATGCAAAATCAAACAAGCAGGATTTAGCTATAAGTTTCAAAGATTTCTTCAAAAACAAAAAAAACAAAACAAAAAAACAAGTTCATAATTAGTTAAGTTATACCAAGGAATGGGMAAGAGTTAGAGTTGGAATAAATCATTCGAGTAAACTCTGACTCGTCTGTGATCGCGAACGAAAATTCAGCGAATTAATTTCATACAGAATTACCTTTTCCTTCAATCTTCGAACTTTTTGTTGTTCTGCCTTTACTGCTGCTGAAGTGTTCGCTTTCTCGGCTAAATCTTTGAGAATGCCCCGTCTAGCTTTCATGTAAGCACCTACATTAAAGCACTTGCTAGACATGATTCACAGTCACAAAAGGACAGGACCAAGGCTGTTGACGTCAAAAGGTTCCATAAGAATTTTGACAAAATACGGGACTCCTGCTTCGTTTTATAAGAAACAAAAAACATACGATTCTTACCTGATAATTCAAGAAACCAGCATCAGCTTTCTCGCGCCATTTCTAATTAATTTAAAGAAAACTGCACAAGCGAAAAAATACGTTTTTCTAGGCTTCTACGGCGGCACAAATATGTGAGGAAGAGTAGACCCACTCAAAATATTCAAATTTTAAGCAACATGGGTAACTTTGGTATCAAAATAAAGCTTATTTATCAGACTTTTTGATTCTTTCATTGTTCTAAATTCGCGCTCTATCCCATTCTGCATAGCGAGCCTTTTATATACCAACCAAAGCTAGTTCCTAGTCCTTCACCCAATTCACGCGGTTGAGATGACATATTTTGGCTTCAACCGGATGTCGCGAAACCCGAGACAGCTGACCCGRCGTGTGGTTGTTATGGCCTGAGGATGATATTGTTATTTACTATCTACAGTATATCTAGCATACAGATTAAGTAAGAAAAGCTAAAGTAATATATAGAGTGGGGGTTGGAGAGCTTTATTGATATCCTGAAATGGCAAGCTGTTTTAAAACCCAAAATGTGAGTTTCATAAGTTCATTTTACTAACATGATCCAATTTTTTTTTAGTTTTCATGTGCTGTTGAGGCTGGACTGGCCAATAATTTTCTCACCCCAAACCTCATTAATGAGATGGTGCGTGATGTATGCACTAGTGTGCAAAACTTTACACGAAGCCCTAACATCAGGGAAGAGAAGCTGTGGCTAAGTTAGAAACTATTGTAGAAACCTATCCTTTTTTGAAAGCCCCTCAACTCAGCAAAGATGCCAAGCCTTGGGTAAGCAAATATGATTACATTTTCAGGTTAAATTGTGTGACGCAATTAATTTTGTTAAGAACTTAGGTATATTTAATTATGTATGTCTAGAACATGGTAGCACATGTTTAAGATAGACAACCTTGTGCCTATTACTATGACATTCCAACAATTAACCTATCTGGGCCAAAAATCACTAAAAATCTATTAAAAAAGTTTAAATGGAAAAATAAAATGGCATATTGTTTGAAASTGGCATTCTTTCAATACAGGTAAATAGTCTGATTGATTCTCTGATTAGTTTTGTTCAAGTGGGTTTGTTAGTGTGTCAACAGTAAAATTATTAATTTTGATGACAAAAAATATTTTGTCTAGATAAAACCTACCAATTGTTGCCAACAATTAACATGTATATACATTTATGTATGTAGGGGGCCTTTGAAGTAAAGATCATGAATCGGTTTAAAAAGCTTCAGCTCAAAAGAACCAACCAAGACACAGAACGTAAAAAAGAAAAAGCCGCCAGTGGCCTCAATTTAAAACCCTCCAAACAAAAACCCTGGATGGTGGTCCCAACAGATGATCAAAGTGAAGAGGAAGTAAAGGGTGCAATCCTTGCAATAAAGCAGGAGTGGAAGACGACAAGAAAGGACCATGGAAAAATAAAAGATATGATGAACCAAACATTTCCAAAAAGAAGAGAGATGGTCCTCATTGAGCAACAGCCTCTCAAGGAAATTGTGAAGTTGTTCCCACCTGTCCAGAGTATGCTCTATGTAAGTGTAAATCAGCTACAGTGTACAAGATAATGTGTAATTTTTGGGACCTTCAAACAATTTGGAAAGCGTGGGTAATATGAAAGCGTTGCATCTCATGTGAGTAGAGTTGTTTGTTGGTTCTCTCCACCATGCTTTAAGGGTTTGTTCTCTGGGTTCTCTAATGATTCTTTACTCCATAAAATCAACTTATAACTTTTAATTGGATCTAATTCAGTTGCCTCTTTAGTGGACCTAAACCTGTAAAAATAATAGCTGTATGCAGTTTGATTTCAGGTTATGTTCACCACATCTATTTCTACCTCTCACTAATCCACGTAGATTTGTAAATTAGTATGTAAATTTATTTATTTTTAAATATCTGTTAACAGATTAAAGCTGACTTTGCAAGAGTAATGGGAAATCCAGACCTGACTACCCAGATGAAGAGCAGCTTCAAAGATGTTTGGAGCTGCCGGATGTTAAGCTATGCCAAAAAGAACAGCAAACACGAAAAAGTATTTTTGGAAATGACTGCTGCCATTGACAGTGGATGCCAAGAAGAAGGTAAAACAGAAACATTTTTTAACTTTATGATTTTTTCTTTGGATGAATTGTGAATGCAAGTTTTACATGAATTCCCAGAGTCCCAAAATACCATTATTTTCCCTATTTCTTACTGATGTCACAGTGAATTTACATGGGAACAGAATCACATAAATCAATAGAAAATTCAAACAAAATCTTTATTCTCTTCTAAAGTTTGGCTTCATTTTGTCTGTTATATTTTATGTTTCAATCATGGTATTTTGTTGACATGGGTGTTTTGTTCCCATGTCTTCCCTTCGTGTTGTTTCCATTCATTAGGGCAGTTAATCAATGAATATAAATAAATTATGACTTTTAAAAAACTAATTCATGAAAAAAAAGAAAAAAAAGGATTGATGACGCATCAGGTAGTTGAGAGAAAACAAAGATAACGAGCAGATTCTTAGTACATTGTTTTGTTGAACATTCTTTTAGAATGCAAAGAAAGATCAGCCTTGAAGTTGGCTTCAATAATCTTGAGGCCTCCAAATAGAAAAGGAATCCAAAGCAAGGATCATGAAGAGGCTGTGATCAAGGTCATTCAAGTAAGTGCAATAAAATATTAGCCTTGAGTGTTTTGAAGTGAAATAACTATATTGCACCCTCCCAACCTTCACAATGATAAGGAAATGATTTTTAAAAAGTTGCAAATTGTTATTTTCACAGGACCATCAGTCACTGGATGAGGCCATCAAGGGTTTGCGGCAGCCAGTCATTATAGTTGCTAATGACCTCTACAATTCAGATTTRATGTATGTGGCTGCAGAGGGCATGTTGTTCTCGACAATCACAACAAACAAGATTGCTGATGCCATAGTAATCCTATTGGCAACATACTATCTTTTCAATCTTGATTATGTAGTTGGAAAAAATATTTTCTGTTTTTTAGAAAAAACCTTAATGGGTGTCACAGATAACAAAAGCCCTGTGCCTGTTGACACCCTTATTGGAATATTATCAAATTTAGATGTGAATTAATAAGTGTGTAAACTCTAATATACCTAAGCAGCATTTACATTGTATTCTATATACTATTTTATTATGGAATGCATTATGTTTCATGAGAAAAGCATGCAAGATAACTTTCATTTATTATGCATTGCATTGGCTAGAGAGTAATCTGAGTAAATGCTGCTTAGGTATATTCAGAGTAGACTGTCTTTTATGCCTAGTTTTTTTATTCATGTTACATTAGGTTACGTAAAGATTTATTTATTTCTATTAAAAAAACTTGGTCCTGCTTTAATTATGTTTAAGTTGAATATTGAATGTGCCAAAATTGAAAATGTCCCTTATCTTAAAGAGCAAAAACAGCCCCAAATTCAGAGCCAGAATGGTTACCGTTTCAGAAGTACCAAAGGAGCCCTATTTTTGGGGACAGTTTTAGAATCAAGATTTAGCCCTWACAGAGCCAAAATAGCTACCATTTCTGAAGTGCTAAAACAGCCCTMTTAATAAGGGGCCATTTTAGGGTCAGCATTAAGCCCCACATAAGGGCTAAAACAGCCCCAAAATCAGAGCTAAAATAGCTCTAATTTTTGAAGTGCTAAAATGGCCCTTTTCACAAGAGGCCATTTTAGGGTCAGCATTTAGCCCCACATAAGGGCTAAAACAGCCCCAAAATCAGAGCTAAAATAGCTCCAGTTCCTGAAGTGCCAAAATAGCCCTTTTCACCAGGGGCCATTTTAGGGTCAAAATTTAGCCCCATATATGGGGCTAAAACAGTCTCAAAATCAGAGCTAAAAAAATGGCCCCTACCTGTAGTGCCAATATAGCCCTACTGTAAAGGGGCCACTATAGGGTCAAAATTTTGGCCCCATTTTTTGGTCCAAAACCGCCCTATCCGATTTACTGTGTACTCGTTACTTAACTTGAAATGATGATAGTGTAGAAGCCAATCGGAGTCCGAACGTGATACCAAGCTCGAAACAAATTCCCCCTTCCCCGACAGACTTGGGTTTGTTGCCAATCAGAATGCAGTATGTAACGYGATCCGCTCACGCTTTACAACGTCCGTTTGAACACCATCGATCACACGCTGTAGAATAAATCAAATATTCGACTTTAAGCCAGAATTTTTCTGGAAATATTTGGCGTGGTGGCGTTCAGAATACATGTTATGATGGAGAAATTATCGTTCCTTTGACATGTTGCATTTTTATTGCGGTTCAAGGGGAGAGAGAGAGATTTTTTTTGGATTTTCTAGCGTGATGTAGTCGATATCGGGTGCTAAGTCTCCAGCCTTCCCATTATTTAGGTAAAGAAGAGCGGATTTYGAAAAAACCCACTAAACGGCCTCAATTCGCACTGAAACTTCGCCAGAAGACTGAGCAAAGTAAAAGCAACAACTGCAGCAAGTTTTGAGGCAAATTGTTGAGTGAAACATTTTATTTCCATGACCTTAATCATAACTCCCATACCTTCCCTTATAAACCATACGCAGGAACCTTGTTTGGGCAGCCTGTGGTACGATATGCGTGACTTTGGGATCAATTGTACAATCTTAAGATAACAAAATAATTTTATTCGCTAGACGTGTGTTTAGAGTATCAAAAAGTAGGTCTTACAAAAATATTCATTCTGAATGTGCTTAACCTCTCAGTCGCTTGAAACTTCGCTGGTTGATTAGTCAGATGTTGGTCTTTCTAGTGATGTAAAGAAATCTTTGGGCAAATGATTGTGTGTCACGCAGTATGTCTTCAAACTTTGGTCAAATTACTCATTTCTGACCCCGGGCCGCTTTCTATAACAGACAAGATACTAGTGTTTATAAGTAAATAATAAACTCAAAATCAAGCCTAAAACACTTTTATAGCCTTAGATGATGTAGCTGTTTAAGAATTCTTACCTGGCAAACTCTGAAACCTGGATTTTTATGAATGCTTTTAGACACAACAGCGATCTGGTTTCTTTCATACCGACTCGATCTTGTCAACGGCCGAGTGCCACAGGGAGCCCAACCTTTCTCGTTGTGGTGCAAAACACAGGAAACAGATTGATTAAAAAATCGTTTTAATTTGTTTTAATGATGATGCAAACACACACAATAAAAAATTTCACAACCATTCCAGTAAAACTTACTGAATTACATGATAATCTATAATATAAATGACTAATAAAGAGGGGGAAAAACTGCAGTAGAACCTTGCTAAGGTTCATAATTAGTACTGAACAAATGTATGTGACAAAGGCACCCACGATTTACAAAAATAGGAGTAGATGCAGAACATGAAAATCTTTGGAAAGTCCTTACGCATCCTTCTTCGGAACAAGTGAACAGCGTGTCATCATCGGTATCGCTCTCATACTTGCAGGAATCTGCAGTGGTCTTTGGTTTATATTTCCTACTTTGTCTAGGTATACTACAATGTTACGCTTTTTGAAGATAACATCATTGTCAAGGCTTACGCCTTCCCATTTCTCTGTGAGATATGTCTCGGGAATCTGTAAACCACACAGCGCTACACTTAGACCACGTACGCCACTATGTGATTCCATAGTGGTTTTCATCTGTACTGCGCTCGTGATGTCATTTCCAGAGTTTAGATAAGTGCGCATGTGATTCTTCAGTACAGCAGCTTTGCGATCGCAAGGACCTTTGCCTCCTTGAGGTTCTGAAAAATCCATGCGCATGTTCACTTTGTGCTTCCTGGCGAGGTTTTGAACTCCAAGTATGGTTGCGGAGCTGTAATAACAGACAGCGTTATCTTGTCTAAAGCTGACGGACTTCAGGTCTGGCATTGCACGTCTCAACTGGAGAATGACGTCAACTATAACTGCTATCACAAACAAGCTATCCTGGTTGCTTTTGTGAACACGTGCACGAGGGTTAGGTTTTGACATTCCTTTTTTTCAGAACCAGTCGTAGGTGCCATTGTCACATACATTCGTTCAGTACTAAATATGCTATATCTTCAAAAAGCGTAACATCGTGGTTTGGAGAGCATACGGCGTTGGAAAAGGAAAAAAGATACCCAACACGAAATTTGAAACAACGAAGACATCGTCAGCTCTAGCCTTATCCACCCTTAGGAAGATGGAGTATTCCGATGACCAGGTTCCAGATTCCTGCGATGTCATACCTAGACAAAGTAGGAAATACAAACCGAAGACCACTGCAGATTCCCGCAAGTATGAGAGCGATAATATTTGCATTTGGTCTTTTTAAAGTTAAAACTTTCTAACTTTGTAAGTTTCTAACTTTATAACTTTGTAACTTTGTAACTTTGTAATTTTGTAATTTTGTAACTTTGTAACTTTGTAACTTTATAAGTTGTAACGCCATTTCCAGGAGGCCTGCACTACCATAGTGGTTTCTTACAAACGTTTCAATTTCGAATTACTTGTTACTTGCATTTATATTTGGTATGGAGCGAACTTACGCTGAAGTTGTTATTGGATGTTCTCCTTCTGTGGAGCCAGCGGATACTAAATCTCAAGAGTTGCAAAGGGAGAAAGAAAATGACGCGATCAAGATTGCGATCCAGAAGTCTCTCGAAGACCAGAAGGTATTTTGCGTTCGTTTAATTAGTCAACTCCTGTTTTTTCGATTGTTGTGTAAATGGAAAAGAACATGGCAGTCATTCTCGATTTCTCTCTTTGTCATCTGAGTGATTCTGAAAATAGTGATAACCTGGGTGATAAGCTGGATTCAGTCACGCCGGGATTTGGCCACTTTAAAGCTACACAAAAAGGACGTTCAAAGGTAGGTAAAATACTATTCCAAATATTAACATTATTAATATTATTTTGTTTTCCTTATACCTTTTTTTGATAGTTTTAGGAAATATGAAATTCATATAAAACGAAAAGTTTGAAAGTTTTACCAATTAATTTTCTTCCAGGTTAATGATAATGAGGTCATTGATTTGACAAGCCCCTCGACATTAAAATAGAGGAAGACAACTAAGAGGTATTTGTGAAAAGTTTTAAACATACTATTCAGATTTTTTCTTTTGCTTTCTAAAAATTTGTTTAATGTTTGTGTACCTTTCACTTCTACATGTCGCGCCTCGTATTTCATTTTATTCGTAGGTCGTTTTATTAGTCATAACTTGTTGTTTTTTGGCAAAAGGAATTCAATTCTGTAGCGCACAAGCGAGTCGAGCGGTTATTTTAGCAACATCTTAACATTTGATTTTTGATTCAATCCAGGATTAAAGCAGGAAAACGCAGAGCAAGCTCTCAAATTACTTATGACAGTGTGGAAGACATTGTGCATGCCCTTGAGTCGTCGTCCCTGGAAAATACTCCTACAAAAACGATGAAGGAGGAACCACGTAGGAAAATCCCTAAGAAAAGGTACAAACGTCACATGTGCGAACCTACTATCGCAAGACGAAATTGGTTTTGGTGGAGGAAACAAATGTGCAATATGCGCAGGGCTAAGGGACCAGCCATAAGATAGGGGGTGGGCTAGGTACTTAAGGGAAACCATGCGCACTAGTGGGTAATTTCATTTTATTTTCAGGGGTGGGCCATGCTTAATTCTGCCAGCCCCCCACCCCCCATCACGTTCTTTATGGCCAGTCCCTAAGATTAGAAGTAGCCGCCAGAACCTTAGCATCCCCCGCTCTTAGGGTCGTTTGTCATGCAATCCTCCCTCCCTCTTACCTTTTACAAAACGAAAACTGACAAAACGAATTCCCATTTGCATTGGGATTCCTTTGCTGCACTCATGTTTTGAGAAACATTGAGATGAAGATCAAAACAGAAATGCATTTGTCAGACAATCTTTACAAGAGGGTGTCGCAAGACATTTTTGGCAGTAAGGAAGTCGAAGGACTAGTACACAGTAAAAACCGCAAAGAATATGACCTAAATGTGTCAAAACTGAAATTAAAGTGGGACAGTCTGGAAAAAGAAGAAAGACGTGAGCCGGAGTTTTTCTTGTATTTAGACAAGAACAAGAAAGAAGCAATGTACAACCATTGCAGACCGCACCTCCAGGCTGAAACGGGTATCGAGGACGAGATGTTCGACAACAATTGCCCGGAGAGTATGAATGCAGCATTAAAGCGGTGGAATGATGGAAAAGCTGACATCTCTCGCGTTGTTCAAGAGATTGAGGATTTTGTTATCAAACAGCAACATGACGTGAGTAAAGCTTTAACTGGAATGTCCAGGGCATATGAAGTTAAGCCTGAATACAAACACCAATTTTCCAAAGAGTATTGGTCGCTGGATATTACAGAGYGACAAGCGGAACTTGAACGGGTCTCCACTTTACCTCTTGCTCCCACTGAAAGTAAGCCATCTTTAGACAAAATCGACAAGTTGAAAGCTGTCATTACGAGCAATCACGTCGATGCAATGAAATTAACAGTCAAGAGGATTTTAAATGGAAACATTCGGCAAGGGTTTAGTGGCCAAAAATCAAGGTTAGTGCCTAGTGAGTCAGGAACTCAGCCACACGTAATTAATTGTCCGGCTAGGTCCAATTACACATGCAATGACTCATGCATCCAATATAAAACCCAAAACGTTTGCAGCCACACACTTGCAGCTGCAACAGACTGTGTCCGTTTGGACCTAGACTATTAAGATCGGGGCTGTTTTTACACAAATCTTCCTTTAATCCTCGTTATCTTTCATAATTACAACGTAGAATTTTCTTATTAACGGTAGATTCCATAATTTTGTAAAACATCGTAGTCCCCTACGTCTTTTCTACGTCTTTGTTCAGGGCAGCGCCATCTTGTCTCCCTCCCCTGGGGCATGATGGGATTATTACACACAGGAATCCCGGTCGCGCGAAACAAAGGGTTCCCAATTCCCAAAACCAGATTCCTGAACACAGACAATGGCGAACTCGGTGAGTTTTTAGACATTTTCCTGATGAAAGGTGTGCGAACAAATTTGACAGCTGTTGCGACAGCAAATGTTAGTCGCCATTCAGGGAAGAAGCCTGGACAGACTTTCCGAAAACGAAAGAAAGCAAGGAAGCGCTTGCAAATGACAACGCAGATACTTCCTTATTATTGTATTCTGCCCAACAGTGTGGAGATGATGGGATGCGTCTCAAACTTTCGAGGGTTGATAAAGGAAGGCCACCGAAACCCAAGCACAAGCCCACAGAAAATACAYCATATGAACTTATTTCAATCAAAGGAAATATCAAGGTTTGTGCTGGATGTAGAGGTGAATTAAAAGACGGTGTGGGTCAGGAAATGCATGAACTTGATTCAGAATATTGCATTCGTCACAAAGAAAATGACTATTTTTTTCTGGAAAGGAAAAATCAGTGGTTAAACAAAATGGATAACAAACACGTTAGCAAAGACTGCGTGGTCAAAAGAAATCCTTAATTTGATCCTGACAATGTAAACCTTTGCCTTGACCACACTATGAACTCTACTCTGAAGAATTATCTGATTCAAAGACTGAAGTAATCGGTTATCTTAGTGATGGCCCATTAGATATTTTATGGGGGGTGGGGTGGGGGGGATGCTGAATCCCTACCAAAAAAAATATATCGAGGAACATCAGTGGAGAAAAAATATCGAGTAGCCTTAAAAAAGATCGTGCAACACCTTCGCCCCGAAAGAAAATATTAAGCATAGCAAACCCCATCAAATATCCAACGGTTCAAGATTTTACATGCTATAATCGATGGAAATCTAAACTTAGATGATTGTTATTGACAGCGAAGAAATGAATTGTTATTTTTATATCTTGCCATATTTCTTTGAAATAATTAGCCTGAGAAAACAGACGTTATTTCGCTCCCCCTTCCCTTGCAAAACTAACGTTATCAATTGGGTGAAATGGTGTTTATCATTATACAACCCTTGTAGTGATAGAATTTCCCAAGGTAGACTTCATGGTGATAGACATATACCTAGATAAGCTAGAACAAAAAAAAGCCCAACATGTTTATGTAATTTAGAATTAGGATTCTCTGTAGTAATATTTGCTACCGTTACTAATGTTAGTCTGGGGATTTCTAAAGCAAAGTTGACTAGCTTCTCTGGTTTGTCAGGATTTAAAAAAAACGAGTTTGCCTAATGGTCGTGGGTCGTGGGTACGAAGTCGTGGGTCTTGGGGATGAAGTCGTGGGTTCCAGTTTTTTTCCAAATTTATCATTTATAAATTTAAATTTATCACTATACTTCCAAAACAAGATCGTGTGGCTTTATTCCTATAGATTCGCTGTAATTGTGGGTCGTGCAAGGTAGTCTGTGTCTGATTTGCGTGACAGTGTTATAAAAATACACCAAAATTTGGTGGCCTGGAAAACCTTTTAGCACATTCTTACATTCCATTTAAGTATATTGGCCTTGCTGTTTAAACATAAATTTAGCGAAGAAAAAAAAAAGAAAAAAAAAAACAACTAGTTTTCTACCTTGTTCGCTTCAACGAGGAGTCTTCAATGGACTTTATGCGAATGTTACCTAGAAACTGCGGCGACAAGCCGCTGCAAACGTGTAAAGTCGATGGACAGCATTTCGTTTTCGGCATTACGTTTCTTCTCGTTCTAAGTGTTTCGTTGCGAGAAAGCTTGTTTCACTATTTCTTAGTAATTCTCTTTGTGTTAATATGGAAATCCTGAGTAAACGACTTGAAAGTGCGGGTTTTACCGTTACCTACGACTCCAAGGTTGATGAGGACTGCTTTTATGCAGCGGCAGCGTATCAGTTGGGCTTAAATACCAAGAAGGTCAAAGAAGTTATATTCAGTAACTTAGAAGATAACTGATTTGATGTAAGTATAATCAAAACGATGTTTTATTCTTGATTTTGCGGGTCCATACCTAAATTATAAGGAAAGTAGAAATTCGAATAGAGTCAGCTCTTTAAAAATCATGTCCATGGGATGATGAATAATCATCGGTTTAGGAGATTCCTACACGTGTCTCCATCTTTAGCTTCTTCACCAGTCTCAAACCTTTTATTCAGTTTTATTGGAACCAAATTTTAATTTTATGTCCTAATGTATACGAGAGATCTCGTATCTTTTCGTATTGGGTGCGACTGGAAAGAGCCTAGCTATGCCATAGATTAAAATATTTTACTCTGCATGGCTCACGTACGGAAGCTTCTAGGGGACATGCGAGATGCGAGTTGTTTGAAATGCGAGATGCGAGTTGCTTAAAATGCGACATGCGAGTTGCTTAAAATGCGACATGCGAGTTGTTTAAAATGCGAGATGCGAGTTGATTAAAATGCGAAAAAA